AAAAAAAAAAAAAAAGCTATAGGGGTATATAAAGTTCTTACAACTATGCTTGGCACATATTAGTTGTTCCAAGTCCTTGACAAGGTATAACTGCCCACCCAAAGCTAATACTGAACTCCTGCTCCCCGGTCCAAGTTACCCACACCTGAGCTCTGTCTCCAAAGGGCCACACAGCTGGGGAGCCCATGCTCCTATTTTCTGAAAATATCTTTTGCAGAGCAGACCCCAGCCATAACCAAAGGGGCAGGGATGGACTGAGTCTCACCATTTGGACCAGTCAATTTCCCTCTCAGGCACCTGGAATTAGGACTTTGAAGTGTTAGCAGGTGGCTCTGGAGGTGGAGGCCACGTAGGCTGGGGAAGGTTTTTGTGTCATATGAATGCAGGTGCCAAGAAGCCAGAGAGAGAGAGAGAGAGAGAGAGAGAGAGAGAGAAGGAATCATGAAACAAACTCACAGAGAATGACAAGAAAAAAACCTATAGTATGAGAATAAGGACAGAAGGTTGTGCCCTAGATTCTGTCTTAGTCTACTTTCTATTGCTATAACAAAATGCCACAGGCTCAAAGCTTTATAAAAAAAAGTTTCTTTAGCTCACAGTTTTGGAGGCTGAAAGTCCAAGATCAGATGACCCATTTTTCAGCCTCTGCTGAAAACTAGTTCACATCATGGTGAATGGTTCATGGCAGGAGTGTATGCAAGAGGGAGAGATCACAGAGAAGATGACAAGAATGGGTGGGTCATTTATACTATCAATGCTAATCACTACTCAAGAACATATGTAACTACTTCTAATTCTAAGCCAGACATGTAGAGACCAGGCTTGCTCCTTTATAATTACTCACTCTCTCAGGGACTAACCTGAATTCAGGATCCCATGAGAACTACATTAATCCCTCCCCCAGTGGAGTGCCCAGTGCACTAATCACCTCTCAGTAGGTCCACCTCTCAAACATTCCTCCACCACACTGGGGACAAAACCTCCAGCACTTGAACCTTTGAGCTAGCCATAACTGAACCATAAGTGATTCCCAAAATCCCATCAGTTCAATAAATTTATTCAGCATCTTCTACAGCCTCAGGGATACAGAAGTCAACAAGAAGGACAGTTTTCCTGCTTTCATGAAGCCTATAGTCTACTGGGAGAAAACAGGTAATAAGCAAGTAAATAAAACTTTAATTTCAGAGAATGATGACCACTTTAAAAACATTAAGCATTCTCACAGAAGCAGAGAAAACAATCTTAAAATGCCTATGAAACCAGAAGAGACCCAGTATAGCAAAAGCAATCCTGGGTGACAAAAGCAAAGCAGGAGAAATCACAACCCTGGATTTGAAGCTATATTACAAAGCAAAAAACAGTGCAAAAACAGAGAAAGGGCAATGGAACAGAATAAAAGATGCAGAAACAACCACATGCACATTCAGCCATTTGATCTTAGACAAATGAGTCAAAAACATACCCTGGAGGAAAGATAGTCTTCAATAAATGGTTATGGGAAAACTGGCCATCCACATATAGAAGATTGAATCTAGACCATCTACCTCATCATCTACTAAACTAAAATCAAAATGAATCAAAGATCTAAATGCTAAAACAGAAACACTTAGTCTCCTGGAAGATAAAAGTAGGTAAAACTCTTCAAGACATAAGTGTAGGCAAGCACTTTCTAAGCAGAACCACAGTGGCACAAGAAATAATACTGAGATCAACAAATGGAATTGTATCAAATTAAAAAGCTTCTCTGCAGCAAAGGAAACAACCAACAGAGTGAAGAGACGACCTACACAAATGGTGAAAAAACTTTTACCAACCATTCCTTAGAGGACTAACATCTAGAATATATAAAGAACACAAAAAATTTAGAACCCCAAAATAAAAGACCCAATCAAAAAAAGGGCAACTGAAATGAACAGACACTTCTCGAAAGTACAGGTAGCCAATAAATACATGAAAAAAATGTTCAACATCACTGGCCACTAGCGAAATAAATTAAAACAACATTGAGATTCCATCTTACTTCAGAAAGAGCAGTTGTCATTAAGAAATCAAATAATAACAAGTGTTGACATCTGTGGGGGGAAAAAAAAAGAAACTTGTTGGGAATATAAACTACTACAGCCACTACAGAAATCAGTATGGAGATTCCTCAAAAAACAAAAGCTAGAAATTGTACTCAACCCAACTATTCCCCTTCAAGATATCTTCCTGAAAGAATTAAAGACATTGTATTACCATGGTACATGCATACCCATGTTTATAGAAGCACAACTCAAAGTAGCTAGATGTTAGAAGCAAACTATATGTCCATCAACAGACAAACAGAAGCGGGGCAAAGAGGATAGAAAAGGGATAGAAAAGGAGTTGAGATACACTGTGTCTGTGAACCAACTCCGACAAGGAACGGAAACGTTATGTAATGCAAACATGCACTAATAAAACTAAAAACTGAAAACATGTTTTAAAACCTCTTGAGGAAATAGGGTGAAAGGGTAATCATTTTAGCTTGCATGTGCAGGAACGGGTCCCCTCCCACACACCACGCTGGGCATGAGCCCAGGGCCTCACTCATAGCTCACCAGCCTGAAAGGAATACTCAGGAGCTCCTAGCCCCAGGAAGTCAGGGTCCTGTTTAGTTTCCACAAGACAGAGAAGGAATCAATGTGTGTGTGTGTGTGTGTGTGTGTGTGTGTGTGTGTGTGTATTGTGGGGGGCCCACACAAATGTCCTTGTCTATTATCTGATTGTTTTCCTCCTCTCTCTTTCTCGCAATAAAAGCCCTTGCATGCCCAAACAAGGAGAGATGTGATTTGAGGCAGTAGGAGGCCTCTCATCTCCTCTGAAGCTAGTGTTGAATACACCTTTTCATTTTCCACCAAAGATTGTTTTGCATTTTCTTGGGAGCTACAGGTCGGTGAGACCTGTGAAGCAGGTAACACTCCCAGCACTTGGGAAGCTGAGGCAGGAGGGTCACTTGAGCCTAGCAGTTCAAGGCCAAAAGCCTCCTGACTGGAGTGAGCGAGCCAAGGGAGAGTGGGCAGGCAACAGTCGATGCTTGGTGAGGAATTTGGATATTACTTCAGGTATAATGGGAAACCACTGAAAGGTTCTGTGCAGGGAAACAGCACAATCTTACTGCAGTTTTGAGGCTG